TTGAAATTATGACGTCAATTGTGCGTCTGTCCTCTAATAGATCATAGGCGAGAACCAATCAAAATGCGAGAATAACTTGGGTTATTATATATATATATATATATATATATATATATATATATATATATATATAGCTAGTCTAAAATCGTCAATCTGATACTAACTGGTGTAGTAACTCTGGTTTTTCAGTCTACCTGTATGGCTATGCATCTGATAAAGAAGACCGAAAAACTGTGCCACAGATCAGGGCAGGAGAGTATGAAGGTCTTGCTGAAAAGGTAAGTGCATTGACTGATGGATGAAATAAGAAGTCACCGCTAATATTGATCAAGCTAAAAGCAACATCAGACTCACAGATCTTAGCATGGGGGCTAGACCCTCCATCTTACCCCCTTATGTGTTTGCAGTCAATTAAAAAAAATGAATGTTCCAAAATAAATTTTAAATAGCAATAATCATTGTTAATATAAGATAATCATCATTTTAAAAATATAAAAATATACATGTATGTTTATATTGAAATATAACCTGACAGGATTTGTTTGTTTACTTGCAGAGTCATTTATAACTTTTTATCTCAGTTTAGGCTCAATTTTACTTTGTTTCAAGGCTTTATTATACATGGTGTTATACATGTAAAATATTAATATTTAATATGCTTAGTTCTACTACCAAACTTTTTACAGATCCAAAAATCGGAATGGAAGCCGGACTATGGTCCGGCAGAATTCCTTCCTACATGGGGAGCCACTATAGCTGGGGCAAGGAAGTTCTTGATTGCCTACAATATCAACATTCTTGGAACAAAAGAACAAGCTCATCGACTAGCATTGAATATAAGAACACAAGGCAGAGGACCAGATCAGGTGTGGTGTTAAGCTTATAGCATTGACTTAGCATGTAGATTTAACCTAGACTAAAAGCGGAGCTCCTGATGGCGATAATAATATTTATCATAACTAGGAAAAGGATTTGATATCAGAAACTCATAAAAATTGATCAAGGGTACCCATGATTGTAAAAATGACGCAACACAACAAAATGCAATGCAATGCAACCCAATGCACCGTACAGCTCTGCACCCCACTGCACTGCAACACAACGTTGCTTTTACTTTGAACTTATTTATTTGTTATAATCCCTTCCTGATACAGTATATATTAATTGCTCTTAAAATAAATCCCTATCATTGTGGTATGCTTTCTGACTGTCAGTTCAAAGCAATTGTAGAAATTGGGATATTTTTATGATAAGCAAAAAATGTGATACTGTTCAAAGTTTACCAATAACAGATAATCGATTGGAAGTAAAAAGCATCTATTCAGTATTTGATGAATTTTTGAATATTTGAATAACTTAGCAGTGAGGTTTTCTGTCTGTATTGTTTGGCCTTTTGTTTTGAGTCTGAATAATCTGCTCAAAACATAAGTAGTGAAAACATTTTTGTATGAGCTCTAAGTCTAAGCTCTAAGACCGTGATATGGTCAGACACGTAATACCGGTCAGCGGATACCTTGTTTTGACAGGTGTCAAATGGCCATAACATGAATGTCCAATATCAAAGATATACGCTCTAAATGAAGGCTGCATGTCTCTGTCAACCTATTAGCTGGAGTATGGTCATCATGTTGTGCGACTCTGTCGTCTTCATTGTTGTCACCAACCCAGCTGATAACCACGAGAAAATCAATTCATGGGTTTCCTTTTTTCCTTATAATATGAGTACATGTATGGTGCTCTGTTTGGCAGCCCTTCAGGCCACTGAAGCTCCGCTATAAATTTTCCTATTAGTTTTGTTAAATTTCTTTTGATGTTGGCTCTGAGAATTTGATGGCTCATCAAGAATTAAGCCTTGTGGTTGACAATCATGAATTATATGTTGGAAATTAATTTAAATAAGGATAAGAAGTAAAAAAATGTTGTGTCATGGTGATAAAAACATTTATATTTGGTTGAGCACTAACTAAGGAAAAAAGACAGTAAGACCAACAGTAGCAAAAGTAAAATTTGAAGATATCCTAACAAACAAAAAATATAAAATTATTGCAAAATAATACGCTTGTTGAGGTAAACTTTTCATTTTCTTTTATGAACAGCCTGGTCGGCTTTCTGAATGCCAGGGTATGGGGTGGTACCTGGAAGAAGCAAACCTAGCACAAGTGTCTTTAAACCTGCTGGATTTTCACCAAACTGGCATGCATACAGCTTTTGAAGAGTGTGTAAAGGATGCAAAGGTACTTTTATTTATACATGTCCCTTAAGGTATCATGGATACTTTTTTAGACATGTAAATAACTGAATAAAGCTTGGATAAGACAATAATCTACTTGAACAGTGACTTTAACCACCCAGGAGTTCAGATGGACACTCTGTTATTTAAGTTGCATGTAACACTCTTTCAATCTTACAACAATTTGGGCTTAACAAAATGATGGAGAAACAGACCCTAGTGTTATTGAAGACAGGAATTCTCTGCAGGGGAACTCTGAGTAGTGCTCAATACTTCAAGTTATCTGACATCACAGTATGTACATATGTGGAAAACAGTTATGTATGACTTCGCAGGCTGGGTGTGTTCATGAACACGTCACTCTAGACCAAATGCAAATTATTTTCAATATTAATTGGATGAGTATATATCAGCTTTCTTTAATTTGAAGCTCAAATTCACAAAGCAATTGATTCAGTATTTAAAGCTTAGCTCACATTTAGAAAACCTAAAACAATTGAAATAGTGATTTTGAATGAAAGTGCTTGGCAGATAAGTATTTAAATCTAAATGAATCCTATTTTTTGTAGGAATTAAAGCTCGCAGTTTGTGGATCACAGATAGTTGGTCTTGTTCCTTTGGAAGCAATGTTATTAGCTGCTGACTACTACATTGAGAAGGAAGATCTGTTTATTGTGGGGGAAGATCAAAAGATCCGCTTGGTAAGTCTGTGGTCTGTGGTCCTACTTCTGTGTAAAGATATGTTTTGTCTTAAATCCATTATACTAGCCTTGAAGAACCAAAAATTAAAAGACAAAAAAACCTACAACTCAAAAAGGAAAGGGTAGGCCACCATGGGCAACAGATCTTTAATATCTGGCAGTTCAATCTAGGAGAATTGGAGGCATTCTAATCTTGGTGCAAATCTGTATTTCCAATAATTATGATTATAGTTACACTTTTGCAACAAAGTAATTTTCAAGATTGTAATTTGATGATCTGAACATAACTTTGCTCTTGACTTCAGGTTATAGAGAGGTTAGGATTGAGCTCACTCNCTTGAAGAACCAAAAATTAAAAGACAAAAAAACCTACAACTCAAAAAGGAAAGGGTAGGCCACCATGGGCAACAGATCTTTAATATCTGGCAGTTCAATCTAGGAGAATTGGAGGCATTCCAATCTTGGTGCAAATCTGTATTTCCAATAATTATAAATTATAGTACGTAACACTTTTACAACAAAGTAATATGATTGTAATTGGGTGATTAAGCAACTGTGAATCCCAAATCACACTCTACATGAGTGTGTATATGTACCTCATTAACATGACTGCTCTTGACATCAGGTTGTAGAGAGGTTAGGACTAAGCTCACTCACTCCATTTGATCCTAAGACAAGAATTATTGAGTAAGTATATTGAAAAAAGTACACTGGTGTTGTGGCCAAGTATGTACATACATGTATGTAACTTAAGGGTGGTGGTGTTCAAAGTTCATGAGCAGAATACAGTCTGTGGAAGCCCATCATCACGGTCACTAGATCTGAAATACATGTATTAGTTGTCTGAATCGTGTATTGTTATGACCAGCTTTTATTTCACCCAGAAAGAGAAAGTTATCTATAGTTTGTTTCGTCAATGTTCACTTATCCACTGGATAGCTTCCTTAGTAGGGGGACTTCCATGTGAAAAGGTCAGGGGTGCTTGTCGGAACATTTGAATTAAACCCCTATGGGAGATCAATCTGGGCGTAACTCAAGCTTTATTTGACCCCTAAAGATACCACTTAAAACAGAACAGGCTCAAATACCAGCCGCTGTTCAGGAAAGGAGCCCGTGCTTGTAGACTGGACTCAAGAGAGCGGCAGAAATAGAGCCTAAAAACGAAAATAATAGCGTTTTTTAGGGTTAGGGTTGGGCGA